TGTAGTAATAAAATAGCAAAAAACAAACATAGCAATAAAGTAAACTCTTGAGCCAAAATGATGTGACACAACTAGGGCTGCCACAAACGATTATTTTGATAGTCGACTAGTCACCGATTATTTATGCGATTAGTCGACTAATCAGATCATCATCCACTGGACGTAAAACTACAGCTTATTGCACCATGCAGCATATGCTCTTATATAACTATCATTAGCTTACAGCTTTAAGCTTTTAAGGTGCTAACTAAAAATAAAGACAAGATGATAGTTTATTCAATTTTAATGAAATTTGCAGATTGTTTCGGTGAAGTTTAATAAACTCCTTGCTATCTAAAATATAACAGGACAACGGAGTAAATTCTCCAGCATCTCACACTTCTGATAATCAGCTGTCTGCTTGACTTTATTCAGCTGTGTAAAAACTACAACTTTAATCTCAGCCAAACAGGAACAAATAAAATACTAAAAAAAAAAAAAAAAAGCCAAACAACAACATTTTTAATTTATCTAAGTGACTCATATATATTTAACCTGAGTAGCGAAAGACGGCGGTGGGTTTGAAAACGATTTGCCGGGAGTCCGGTGTTCTCACCGTGCTAGTGACCTAGCCCCCGGCTAGCTATCGAGCTAGTGGGTAACAGACGTCTCCGAAAACGTCGGAGCGCTTTTGAAAATATGTGGTGTCCTGATAAACTGAGCCGATATTTGAGGTTTACACAGCTACATTCTCGGCTGAAAATATGTTAAACGTTTATTTTGTGACCCAGAAAGAATAATAAGAGTAACATTAAAACTAACTAGCTGCCGCCATTGTTGGAAACTGAGCTGGGCCGCGCTATGAATTCTGGGACACAGCTGCTTCTTCTTCTTCTTCGGGGTTTAACGGCAGCTGGCATCCTTGTACATGCAGTGCTGCCATCTTCTGTTTCAGTCTGTTATTACACTCTTAAATCCTGCCACTTATTCCTGCGTCTTTTGTGATCTTACAAAGCTTCAAACGACGCGTCGACTATTAAATCAGTCGTCGAGGATTTTGATAGTCGACGTAATCGTGACTAGTCGACAAATCGTGGCAGCCCTAGACACAACACAGACACAAAAGGAAATCTTCTACATTGTTTTGCTGTTCACACAAGTTCTAATGCTACCCTTTGTTTCTGGAAGGAGACGATTTTCTGTCCAGTATTAAAGTTCAAAGAACAGGGTATCCGTCTCCAGTGGGCTGCTAAACAAGTTTACCAGAAAAATCAGACCCACGGTCATGTTGTGTCACTTTGAGTGATTAGTCAGCAGCAATAACAGGGAATGACAAACTGACAGACTTTGGATATAAAACAAACAATTTAAACATTTAGAAGTTAAACATCTTCTCGGATTCCTTTTGCTGCACATGTCTATGTATGTATTTGCTGTACAGTGTCATTTGTTTGGAACATTAATCTTGATGTATACATAAACATTTGATTTAAAAACGTGTTTAAAAATGAACACTGACACAATTAAACACAACACTGGTGCACGGTGACTGCAAACAGAAGCAGCTGCTTGTATCCTCCTGTGGATACAAACCAGCAAGAACTCATCAGATCTCTGTCACTTACCATTAATGAAGTTTGGCTTTTATTAATAAACAGAGCACGGATATCGGGCAGGTATCACTTCGTCTGGGCCCTTAATGGGGTCGTCCGTGAAGCGGACACGTCAGTAGCTCGCAGGCGCAGCCACAGGAAGGTGGCAAACTAAACAGGCTGCTGATCGGACCCAAACCGCTCGGCTCTGCAGGATTTCACGGTCAGAGCCGCAGCAGCAGGACACCATGATGTTAGCGGCTACAGTTTAGACAGAACCAAACTGAGAGACTTTGGGTAAGCTATGAATAATGTAAGCTAACTGCTGTCAGATGAAGGTGCTCTAAAGTGTGACAAGAACATGACACAGCAGCTCTGTTTAAAATGAAAGGAAACGTTATTGTCATACCTGTTATGAGCAGTCGACAGAGAAACACGACAACTTTCAGCTTCAGCCGCTGAGATGCGCCTTTTTTCCCTCCACAGGAACGAATGAACGCCTCCTTCCTCGTGGTTGTTATTAGCGCTCAGCAAACAGCAACATGGTGCATTAGCGCCACCAAATGGACAAGTCAAATTCTGTCAAACAATTTCGCCTGAAAAATGAAATATGGCCTGATAGCTTTCACCCAGGGGCGATTCTAGGATCAGAGCTTTGGGGGTGCTGAGCACCCAGAGAGCTGCCCAACCAGGCAAGATCAACTTTACTCATCACGATGAGACGTCTTCCCCGTCTCGTCAGTCCCTGCATCCCTACATGTCTCCAGTCGTCCTCTGTCTGTCTCCTCGGTGCATTTAAACCCCTGTACCTCGCTGTCCTCATCGTCTGTTGTCCTCGCCCCATGTCTGTGCAAATCTGCAAATTTCTTTATTAAATCACAAGATTCTTAACTTCATCAAGTCTCTCTGTGCCTGGGTCCTCGTCATGATACATGACATCACTGTTTTGCAACTTTGCCTATGGTACAATGGATGAAAAGATCTTTACTGCAGATACTACTATGGCTCTGTAGATTTTTTTACATTTTATTTTCACCTATGTCGCCTCACCTTGACTGGCACATCTGTCTATCACTTTTTGGTAGTCAACTCTCTCAAGCAGTTAAACGGTTTCCGTTGTGCCTGTCACTGCTCCCTGTCTGTTTGCTTACCTGGTTCTTCCTGACCTTGTACTTTCTCCTCACGTTCCCCTCTTTCCTCTGTCCCTCTTTGGACTGACAATCATACACAAATAGATTATATTCAATTAGATGAACAAATTACATTAATATGAAAAAAAAAATACTGTTAAGATCACTAATAAAAAGTCCTCTCTCAGTGCGTTTTCACCACAAGGCAAATAACCAAACCACGTGTTCATCTAATAAAAGATGTACATTTGTCCGCAGGCTACGGACAATTTTAAGTTTTACATTTTAAATATGCTATATAAAATTCAACGGGAGCAACAGGACGGTCAAATGTCACTGATTCTACTACAGAGTAGGACGGGTTGTAGGGTTGCAAACATCGTGAGAAAACAGTTTCAACACTGCAGGGGTGCACCTTGGACCAAGGGCAGGACACCTGCTATGAAAGGATGCTGAGAACCACAGGTGAGGCCAAATCAAAAGAGGAAAAATCCGTGGAAAGCAAGTCCACAGACACGTTGCAGCAGGATAACAGGTACCTTTATGATACGTAGCTGCACAAAGTAATATGGAGGTCACAGACATAGCGGGCTGGGAAAACATGGAATAAAACACGAGGAGGAGAAACGAGGCATGGGGACTGGCAGATACACAGAGGGGACACACAGGGGGTGAAGTCACGAGGGGAAATCAAATAAGCAACATCTTAACAGAACAACCTAGGGACCCTAAAACTGACATCAAACAACAACAATACAAGACACACAAAAAAACAGGTAGAAGTCCCAGGACCATGACATGCAAGTGGTTACATATGGTCAAAATGATTCAAATGCAGTAAGTATGCACGTTTCTCATATCAATATAGTCCATAGCTTGATTACTGTCTGTAGCCCACATGATTAAACACTTTACTTACACAAAACATGTGAGTTTAGATTCTATCTACTGTATAGTAAATAAATATGTAGCCCAACAAGTATAAAATCCAGAAAGCTACACAACATGGGGCGGTTCATTTACAAACACAGGTCTAACTTGAGTTTCACACAGTTTTTATTAGAAAACAAATTGTTAAATGCTTAAAGTACACAAAATGTCAGAAATCTGCACCGTCATGAACACAAATTTAAAGCTAATTTTTCGTGATTTGTTGATTAACCCTCCGAGGTCTAAATCCCACGTTGTGCACATCAACATCACAGATTTGTACAAATAAAGTTTATAACAAAGACCTGTTCAATATTAAGCTCTGGAAACAGCTTGTTGTTTTGTTGCCATAGCGATGCCTCCAGGGAAAAATTAGGGAGCAGAGCAAGAATGAGAGCATATTAGTGGATATATGCTTGATAACTTTGCCTAACAACCATAAAGAAATGTTTTATATTTTGTGTGTGTGTCCTCATTATTGAGCTTTAATCCTGCACGAAGGCCGAGATGAATCTCTTAGAGTAGAACTTTACAGGAACTATCAGAATAAATAAAAATAATAACACTTTGACTGCTTTAGTCTTTTAGATTCACTTCTGTCTGTTTTGTTTTGTCTCCATTTAAAAGATATCAAACTCTGAGCAAATGTAAAAAGAATCTCTGCACATTCCACAGTCTTTGCTGCTAAAGTGACATCACAGCATTTAAGCATGTTTTGAATGAAAACATCAGCATATGAACACAAAACTGAAGAGACACTGCAACCGTATGAAAGCAGACCACTATTTAGTGACATTTCGACGTTTCCCTGAGGATTAACTGCTCTGTAATTTACCAAGAACTCAAGTAAGCTCAAATTTCACTTTATAAACTTAAGAGCATTTACTTCAATATATAAATGCCTGATTTTCCTGCCTGCCAGGACAGTATTTATGTACTTTACATTGTGCAAGACTAGACTATATTTTCCATCATAGAGAGGATGATGTGGATCTATTATTCAGGAAAACAAATGTACATAAATGAGAAAATGTTCTTAATCACATCTCAGAGTGACAGAAGCTCTTTTTAACACGATTATTTCTGAGACTATTTTGTTCATTTAGGAAAATAGAGAAGACTTAAGTCTTGTTCTCAAACAAACTATTAGAATTTCTGAGAACCGTAGGCTGCGTCCACATTTCTGAAAGCGCAGCTTTGTCTCTGCATTTGGGCCTTTCTTCCACACCTAAACAGCAGATTGAGTCACTGAAAGGTGAGATTTTTAAAAACGACGTTTTTGTGTTTAGGTGTGGACGAGGAAAACGGACATTTACTCAGGTAATGTCAAAAGTGTGCGCTGCTGTTGACGCTGTGGCCACGTTAGTGTTTACATGAGATCAGTTTCTACAATGGCAGCTGTAGACAACATACTGTGTCTGTTCGTCTTAGTATCTGCAGTTTTGACACACTTACATATACACACAGTTACTGTGCCTCCATTTAGAAACACAGAGGCATCAGACGTGGCTTCTACATTCAACACAGACGCTCTCCCAACCCAAATCCTGACGTCGGTTTGGAATAAATGTCATTTTAAAAAAATGACATTTATGTATGCTGTAAGATTTGGCGTGTTCTTGACAGCGTTTCACTTTGTTTTTAGCGTTTAGATGTGGAAGGAGATGTTTTTTCAAAACTGCACATGTGGACTGGATTTCTTTTAAACGAAAAAGGAAAACGTGCGTTTTCAAACATAGGCGTGTACGTTCGGACGCAGCCTAAAGTCATCACAAAAAAAGCAAATTCTCTGAAGATTCTTAGTTGAGGTTTACTGATCATTGTTGTTTTGTGTTCCTTGTAGTCAAAATGAGTGCAAGTGGAGACGGACCACAAAATAACCAAAACGGTAAGCACATGTCCTCAGTCTAGAAATTGATGAAAAACTGATTTTCAGCAGATAGTTGTGGATGTTAATTAAAAGATTTAATGATCTTGCAGGCCAACAGGTTAACCCACAAAGGTTTGCAAATGGAGATCAGCAACCTGCTAATGAACCAGTTAATGGAAGCTTCTTGAACGATCTGTATCTCACTCTCCGTGATATTTGTTGGTTTCTGCATGAGCTAATAGCTTCAGTACTGGAACAATATGATGACTTCTACGGTAGCGATGACGATGACAACAATGTCAACGCTCAAAATATTAATGTGAGGGACAATAATGCCAATGCTGACAACAATGAACAGCACCAGGATCGTAATGCTGTGGTTGTTGGTGGCATTGAAAATGAGGAGGCATTTGAAGACCGTGTGGATGTTCACCAGTACATCCCAGAAGAGGACCCTCAGCCAGGTGTTTCCAGGAGGAGGTCTAGAGAGATGGATGAAGAACATGTGGAACCAAACAAAAGAATCAGATGGAGCGATGATGACTCTGACTTCTTCTCTGCCTCTGACACTGATAGCATGGGCTGTCCTCGTGTTGGTAATATTGCCGATGAGGACATCAATCAGTAGGTAACAGAAGAAGAACCGCAGCCTGGTGGATCCACGAAAAGGTCCAGAGAGGAAGATGTTGACGAAGAAGGACGTAATAGCAAGAAATCCAGGCTTGCACACTCTGATTCGGGGACCAGCTCAACTGCATACGACCACTCTGAGAGCAGCAGTGATGAACTTTTTGAAGGTGCACACGAAGAGCTTGACCACCATGAAGCTGGAGGCTCGAGGAAGCGTTCCCGAGAGGACTTTGAGGAAGAAGAGGAATACTTGCCGGCATGCAAATTTCAGAGGTGTTCAAATGAGTCCAGCAGCAGCAGTGATGAAGACTAACACTATTTCGACAGGTTTCTTCAGTATCCTTTTAGTAGGCTGATGGCCTACTCAGGTGACCCTGAATCCTCCATGCTGCAATAAGCTGGGCAAACACTGTGCGATTTCTTTCAGTCGCGTTATTCAGCTCCTGCTCAAACTGTACGCTTGACTCGCAGGGGTGAGAAGTTTGTGCCTCCATCGCTTGTGTCCCGGTCACACGCCGCACCGCCGTTCTACTCCGTCTCTTCACTCTCATTTCTGCGATTGCGCGTGCGCGGTGTGAGACGCTGTGGTGACACCCTCAGGACGACCTACAGGATTTCAAACAGGTTTGATTTTCTTACGATTTCTTACGACCAGCTCCCGATCATCAATCGGGAGCTGGTCGTGAGGTTTTAATCGCTTCTCGTTACCCCGTTACCCTCGTTATGTAGACGATGCACGACACACGATCAAGGCCAAACTCAGGACGATCCCCAAAACAGTCGCACGACTGAAAAATCGGCTCAAAATGGGCCAAAAATCGCACAGTGTATGCCCAGCATTAGGCTGCTGGGGGATTCCCATGATGCACTGGGTGTTTCTTCTTCACCCACTATGTTTAATAGACCTCTCTGCACTGAATGGTACTTGTTATTAACCTCTGGCTCTCTTCCACAGCATGTCTTTATCCTGTTTTCCTTGCCCCTCCCCAACCGGTCGCAGCAGATGGCCGCCCCTCCCTGAGCCTGGTTCTGCCGGAGGTTTCTTTGTGTTAAAAGGGAGTTTTTCCTTCCCACTGTCGCCAAAGTGCTTGCTCATAGGGGGTCATATGATTGTTGGGGCTTTCTTTGTAAGTATACCTTACAATATAAAGCGCCTTGAAGTGACTGTTGCTGTCATTTGGCGCTCTATAAATAAAATTGTAAAGCGCTTTGAGGGGTCCCGAAAAGTGCTATAAATGCATCATTATTATTATTATTATTAAAATTGAATTAAAAATTGAATAGATGTCACTGTGATGATTTCTTGCCTCCATAGAAAGCTTAGACCCAAATGCAGATTCAATGCACAGGGTTAAACTATTTATGAGACTTTGTTTAAAGAGAGGGAATGGAGAACGTGGCTCGAGCTAGGAGTGTCAGCAGAGAGCAGGAACCAGAGGAAAAGCTATCGAGAGACTGAACACCTGGCTCCTGATGGGAACAATCCAACGGGAATTCTGCAACAGAGGGAGAAGAAGTTGCTGGATGGGTAAGGGAGTTTGAGGGTAGGATGAGTATGTTGGCAGAGGAGACCTAAGCACAGGGAAAACAAGGGGGAACACAGGGAAGCAGAATGCCAGAACTGGAGCAGAGGGGAAGCCTAGTTACCACTGGAGATGGCAGAACAAACTGGCGAGGAGTAGCAGGCAACGCTGGTTTAAGAAGCCCTCCTGCTGATTGTTTGCAGATGAGGCCCAGGTGAGATGCTGGAAACTCCACCTCTGAAGTGTGGAGACAGTATCCCGATTCCAAGTGGAAAAGCCCCTCAGACACTTCTATGGTGCATGACAAGAAGGATGAGAAAGCATTCATTGTCCATCCATCTGTCCGTCAGCGTAATGCCTAAAAGTTTATTCAGATGTAAATATATTACATTTTTAAATAAAGATCGTCAGTGCACTATGTGAACACCTTGCCTGCCTGCAGCAGTAAAGGACTCCGTGAGAGACGTCTGTCTCACCCTAGCAGCACCCGTCCTTCTCCTCCTCTTCAGTTCGCCTCAACATAAGCTCGTCATATTCTGTGATATGATTTACTCTGAGGTGTTTGACAAGGTTAGTGGTGTTGCCACAACACCTCACTTTCTTGCCACATGTATCGCAAACCACGTCTCGGCTGTTTGTGGATGTAAAATACGTGCGCACATGACTCCAGTTACGCTCAGTCATTGTTGTGAGTGCGCGTGCCACAGGCTGCCACACATTTATACAGCCGTGTTTCACACATGACTATAAAAGGCGGAAGAGGGAGTAGTTCTTTCCAATGTAGACAATCTGAATGATAGTTTCTTTCCACTGTGTTCCTGTTAATGAAAAACTACAATTTCACCCAAAATGATTAAAATATCAATATTTTAATGTGGAAACCTTCTGTTTCCACATCTGGACTTTCTGTTGCTGCCCACGCAGGTGAAACTTTCTTTGAAGTGGCTTATTGAAGTTGTAATTGATAATCAATTCCCACACAATGTGAGAATCCAATCAATTTGTTTATCAGGGGAAAGGTGTGATTTTTTTAGGACACTGGAGCCTAACATTAACTGGTTTAATCTTAGCTTATTTCCATAAGAAGAAAAACATACTGAGAAAGAGATCACCAAAATATACATGTACAAATGTGAAATGGTCAAATGTAGTGTGAAAGAGCTATTTGACATCTTTAAATTCAAAGTAATGTATAAATCCACTTACATAAAACATGAAAAGGCGGAGCAGCGATGCCCATCTCAGCCAGTGTATGATGGTGGGGCAAGATGGCAGCTTCCACAACATGACACCAGCTCCTATGTATTTTTAGTAGATAAATGATACGTTTATGTATCAATTTGTTGGAAGATGTAATTACACCTTAATTATGTAATTAGAAGCAAAAATGATTTTTTTTTTAATCAAATCACCTCAAAAAATTACTGTACTTACTTTCTAAATCATTCTTTACCTCTAAAAGGGGCGGCTGTGGCTCAGGAGGTGGAGCAGGTCATCTACTAATCAGATGGTTTTTGGGTCGATCCCTGGCTGCTCCAGACTGCATGCTAACTGTCCTTGGGCAAGACATTAACCCCAAGTCACTCTCTGATGCATTCATCAGAGTATGAATGTGTGTGAATGTTAGATAGAAAGCACAGAAAAAGGGCTTCTATGAACAGGTGTGAATGAGGCAACCTGTATAGAGCGCTTTGAATGTTCAGGTAGAGTAGAAAAGCACTGTAAAAATGTCTGTGTTGATTTCTTTTGGACCTCAAACATTACTCACCTTGTTGCAGGTTTCTTTATTAATGCTGAAAACCCAGAATGGAAACTGACCTTACTGCTTCCTTCCTTTCCAAACTATTGCGGCTCCTCCAACCAACGGCCGCGGCAGGCTAAACATGAGGACACAGATGACGCGCAACAGTAAACACATGAGATACACCTCTGTACTATTTGCTACTTTTATTCCACATACAAGTGTCCACTATACAAATCGGCACACGGGCTCAAACCATTAAACAAATGCACAGACTGCACAAATAACTGCACCATTTACTATGCCAAATTTCAACATTGGCCTATTGCATAACTTAGTGAATAAGTATACATAAACCATCAAGTTGCAGTCAAAAAGTGCATCAAAATGATTCAAGCTGCGCTCAAGCTGCAGTCAACAGAAGGTTTTGCCTCATGCTCACCCTACCTTTCTGCTCATTAACATCAGGTGCCGTGAACAGGTGAGTGCAACCACATTTATCACCTAACACACCCATGAGTCACGCCCCACACCCGTGTACCAATACAGTGAGTGCATTTAAACTATTCTGCCCTCACTAGGGTGTGAAGCTGGTTTCTAGCTTGGCAGATAGCTAACAGGTCCACAATAAACATCCAGGAGTCAGCGGATACGTTTTAGATGTTTACTGTTGAAGCACTGTAAAACTGGTACAGAAACAAAAATAAAATTGCATTTTCTTTACAACATCAAACATTAAGCCATGCACTACAATGTATATAACACATAAACACAAACTTATCCAAACCCTTTCACTGGTTATTAGGCCCACGCATTTAGCGATTAGCTTAATGCTAACATTACATGGGAAATCCCATAGACGGGCTAACGTGTTAGCATCGCGGCCGTTTTACCTCACAAAAGAAAGTTTTCCACACAAACCTCTAAACTGCTACACAAAACTATCGCGGGAAAGCTTACAAAACAGATAGCAACTACTTACAGGCATGTGCTCTCTCAGGCTCAGCAAGAAAAAGTGAACAAAAAGTGGAACAGACAACAGTTTGGCTATCCGGTTGTTCAGTCTGACGTCACTAGCCGTGTCTGGCCTAAACTCCGCTGCAGGTCCATATATCAAACGATCACTCAGCATTACTGAGAGTTGAAAAACTGTCTAAAGTCTTTCATCTTTAATAAAATGATCAGCGTTCTGCTCTACCAGGTGTAACAATTGAGTTTAGCATCCAGGCATCCATGAAAACGGAATTTATGATATTTAACGGAGTTAGAAGTTAGCAGGGAGTTAGCTCGCTAGCTTCTATCTAAATACAATATAGCATGTCCTGACTGCGGGGTTTGGAAACAAATTAAAACGTACAGCTCTGTTATCACTTATCAGAAAATGTTTGGCCCAATTAATTTTGAAAGTGTTATTTAAAGTAGAAAAGTCTAAGACGTTAAGCCCACCTGATTCGTACTTATCACAACAGTTTTTCTAATATAATGCATACGGTTTTTCCATATAAAATTAAAGAGCATACGGTCAATATCTTTACTAATTTTCTTATCCAGGTGTAAGGAGAGAGCAGCATATGTTCATCGGGATATCCCTTCAGCTTTAGTAAGTAACACCCTACCTTTCAAAGACAAGTCCCTTTGCAGCCACTGCTTGAACTTTTTTAGGGTTTTAGCTTAACAATGCTCGCAATGCAATGATGCAAGTATTCAAGTATTCAAGTAACAGTAATCATCACATAAAAAAGCACATGTAACAGATTACGTCCATCGTTTTTAAGCAAGAAAAAAAAAACAAACAAACTGAAAATATTGACAAAATGTGGCAATGAAGTAGATGCAGAATAAACGAGCCGTGTTCCTGTACACTCTGTCATGTAACGGTGTGTGGCAGGCAGGAAAATAGGACCCAAACGCAAACTCACAGGAAAACAGGACTGAACTCAAAATGCAGCTTTATTGCTGACAGGTGACAAACGATAACAGTGATACCAAAGCAATGCAAAACTAAACTGGGAAGAGCTAATTGTAACACATACCAGAAGACACGGGGAGAATCACACACAGCATGAGGGACAACACAACACTGACTCAGAGAAACACAGGGTTTAAATACACTGGGAAGTAACGAGGGGAATGAGACACAGAAGGAGGGCACAGCTGGGAGAAATCAGGACTGACGAGACAAGCAAAGCAGGACACATTTACATAAGACACGGACCTACAAAGTAAAACAGGAAGGATCACACAGAGACGCGAACTTGACACAGTGGAGACAGCAACTAAGAAACACAGAGACATAAACCATAAGGCAGAGGACTCTAAGAACAGAGGGGACACAGAGAAACATGAAGGGCAAGGGATCGAAACTAGAAACCATAGAATAACTCACACACATAAGTACAATAACACAAAAACCACAAAGAACTAAAAACGCTGGGTCAGGAGACCCAGCGACCGTGACACACACCTGTTCACCTGCACGCGAACACAAATATCTCATCAGCTGATCACAGAGACGCAGGTCTGTGCATTTAGGCACGGTTAAGATGGCACGCTGAAGTTCAAACCAAGCATCAGGATGAGGACGTATTTCAGAAGCTGATGGAAAATAGGAAGAAAAGAGTAACTCAGCACTTGTTACAACAAAGGTGTGCAGACGTCCAGATGTTAAACCCTGAAGCAGATGAGTTCAGCAGCAGAGGCCAAACTCAGTGTTACTCCTGTCACGTAACTTTCCAGTTTATTCAGAAGCATGCGTTATATTTCACAAAACGAGAAACTGGGTTATGTGTAAAATGTGAATTACAAAGAATTTTATAACTGTAATTTAATCTCTGTGTAAACAGCTGTCAGTAAAGTGCACTGGATGTTACAACACGGAGGGAGAGAGTTTATTTTCCATAGGTAATAAACTTTGTTGTCATTTGATTCACAGTGAGAGCAGGTGTGTGATTCCAACACAAAGGTCAGAGTTACTCAATACATTACCCAACGTTAGAATCTTAATATATCTAACAAAGCTTATCGTGAGTTAAAGGATCATTTTCACCCTAAAACAAAGAAAAAAGTCATTTTCAGAGCCTTCAAAGTTTCATTTGAGATACATTTCAGGTCACGTGTTAGCAAACAGACAGTGTTCAGGTATTAAACACAGCACCTCGTGCACGTTTGTAACCATGGGATCCACACATTCAGCAACACAGTAGTGTTATTACTGTTTTGGGTGGGGGCAGCTATAGATTAGAATCACGTGTGACCTCATGCTGCTGATGGATGCGTTGCAGTCACATGATCCAATCATGCTGTGGAGCAATGAAGTCAGGTGGGTGCAGGAAAATGTCTAGACCGGATTTGTTTGCACTATAAAGCAGCTCAGGATAACGTTGCCACTGGGCCACACTGGCCCTGTTTATCTGTGGGGAATCGTGCACGGGTTCACGTGTGAGTGACTACACCTACAGCACCTACAGCGCAGCGTCATTTTGTAAATAAAGGCGCGTTTTCTTTGATTTGCGGTTGTCTCGAGTGCATGCTTCCACAGCCGTCACACATACTGCTGTCATATTAAGAAAATGTTTGCGACGTCGAAAATAACGACGGCCATCTGGGACTTTCTAGTGGACGACTTCATGGCTGTGCCTTCACCTGGAGACTGGCGGTCCATCACAGAGGGATTCCAGGAGCGCTGGAACTTCCCTCTGTGCTGTGCAGCTCTGGATGGGAAGCACGTCCAGACAAAGGCACCCCATATATCATATAGGAGACACACACTTTGATATACACTAAATATTTATTGCATTTCTTTTTTGTGGTGCCCAAATTTATGCACCTGCTTGATTTTGTTTAAACAATTATTGCACACTTTCTGTAAATCCAGTAAACTTCTTTTCACTTCTCAAATATCACTGTGTGTGTCTCCTGTATGATATTTAACTGACCTTTTTTATTGTAACAACCAACGATTTATACAGGAAAATAATGTCTATTAACAAGGTTGCCCAAACTTTTGCATCCCACTGTATTAGTATATTTTGTCATTAGTATAATATGAAATAACTTCTACATGTGTCAAGTCGTGTGCCAACATTTGCTGTGTAGTAGAACTGAGACATTAGTCATTATAAAAATGTATTTGAAATAATATTAAAATTCTCAAACAGAAAAACATTAAACATAAATATATAAAATATAAGTATTTACAGAGAGACAGGAATAAAAAGGACCAGCTGCTCTCCAGAGCAGGAACAAGGCTGAGGAGGAAATGCTCCATTGGAGACTGGTGTGGTCTCTTCAGGGACTCCAGGATGGCCAGCTCCACCGCCGATGGACCGTCCTGGGACCCGTCCCTCATCTGCCTCGGAGCCGTCCTCCTCTGTGGGCCTGTAAAACAGCACAAAACACAAAGAAATGAGAAGACTGCTACTAGATTTTAATTTCAACAGTGAAAAAAAAACAAAAACAGGATATAATCAGATTGGTTGTAGATATTTAGTAAAGGTGATCACAAGGCAATCCCACCGACTAAAAAGGTATCAGTGCTTGCTGTACATACCTGTGGGTGCAGCAGCAGGAGCTCAGGGACTGGGGAGCCAGGAGAAGCAACAGGGGATGCTCTGCTGCAGAACCAGTTGGCTCTATCAATACAGTATTAAATGCTAACAGGTTGAATATAATCAGAGAAAGTATATACAGTGGTCCCTCCTTTATTGCAGCAGGGGTTCTCAGAATAACTAGCCCCTGGCCACGCACTTTATACACTGTTTTCCCCACACACATGAACATTGGTCACAGTTCTCACAATTGATTCTCAAAGTGCAAACCTTTGTAGATTGCAAAACGTAAAAGTATTATTATGCCGCGTTTTGTCTTCATCTGCCCGCCACTTTCGTGCGCCTTTTTCCCCTCGCGGTGCAGGTGTCTATTTCCGAATGAGGCTCATAGTTATGGGTGTTTTTGTGCTGTTTTTTCTATTGGACGTGATGGTTATCAAAACCAAACATGATAAATTTGGCAAGCGCAGGAGACACGACACGGAGCAGATTTGTCAATCAGGCTGCAGAATGCAATGCTGTACGGTGCAAAAAAAAGAAAAGAAAAAGAAAATCAGCGGAAAAGCGAAGCAGTGACAGCGGGACCACTGTGTGCTGCTTATTAATAAAGAAAATATATTCCTATATGACAACATGCATAAAAGCAGAACGGTATTTGTACGTCAGTGGGAAAATAGCGGTGGCTTGCTAGCTTTTGTGCGGCTTCCCCGGAAGGTTAAAGACAGAACATTACTAGATTGTGGTTTTAATTAAAATGTAGCCTGTGACAATTCTGAACACATGACAAGCTACTTTAAGGCATATCACCCAGTTTGTAATATTGCTAAACATTTCTGAAGGCAGACGAGTCATGCTGGCTGGGTCAGTGTCATTTTTGTTGTAATTGATGTCTGGTTTGTTCTGTTCCCTAGTGATGGGTAGGGATGGGTACCAT